CAACTAATAAAATTTGATTAACTGGAATTGGCACTTTATATCACTGAACACACATTTTTACAATTTTTTCTAAAACAGCTCTAACAATTTACATTTAACTGATCCCATCAATATAAAATGCTATGTATTTAATATCAACTGGATCTTATTCCATCTAATGTAGTCTGACAGAGTTTAAGAGCCAAATTTTCAAAATTTATCTCTATGGTCTTTAATTTTGTTTATTTGAAATAATTGTTCATTTCCCATTTTAACAAGTTGTAAGAAATGCTTGTATATGAGCTTTGAACGAATTTTATATTTAACTAAAGAAGAAATAAAGGTTAGTTATAGATAGAAACTTGGAAATCGGAAATAGCTGAGAGCATCCAATTTTTCCCAAACCCCCTTAATCTGAATTATCCATGCCAGTACAAAGCTTTCCCATCGTTATTTAGTGTTAATTTAACTTTTTACATATAACTTTCAAAAAATGTTTTCATGTGAAACATTGAGGATCTTTTAATACAGAGAGATATCTAGATAATAAAATTTATTTTGGGACGAGGTCCTTTAAGATATTGATATACATATCTTCTAATATTTACTCTTTTTTCATCATGTTTCCTGGTAGATCATATTTTAAATACAGTTCAGAATTTTCTAGAAGATTGAATTTAACATTTTATTTTATTTGTCTGGTCAACAAGTGTATGTATAATTACCTAATAATAATGAATATGAAAGTTTCTTATTTAAAAAATTATAACTAAATTAAATCCAATATTTTCTAGCCTATTTCATAAATCAAATAAATTTTATTATATTAATATTGATTATTCAAATATTACTCTGCCTAAACCTACTAAGCTTTTCAATAAATGTATGCTTACTTACTTACTTACTTCTCTGGCTCTACAGCTCTTTGACCTCCACAACAAATCTCCAATCTTCCTCCATATCAGCCCCAGAAGAAGAAGACTTGGCTTCTCCACTGCCCGATTCCCATCTTCTGCAAATCGTCCTCCACAACATTGATTCATCTCAGTCTGGGCCTTCCTCTCTTTCTTTTGCCTCCTTGATTTCCATATAATATTTTTTTTTGGTATCTATCTTCTTTCATCCTTTCTACATGCCCAAGTTTATATGGATTAGTTTAACATAAGTGACTATGTCTGCTTCATTATACAATTCTCGTTCAAGTACTCTATTGCTTCTAAGTTTCTATTTTCCATTGATATATACTGGCTCAAAGATCTATCCAAGGATCTTTCTATCCCAGAGTCGGAGGATCTTCTCCCATTATTTTGTCAGAATCCACATTGGTCTCAAGATCATTTTATAAACAAGTAGCTTTGTCTTCTGTGACAGGTTTCCAAAATGAAAAATTTTCTGTAATCCAAAAATGTATCTATTGTCTGCTGCAATTCTTGCTTTTATTTACACTGTGATTTCATTTTTGCCTGTCATTAAAGCTCCTAGGTATTTGAAGCTGCCAACTCTCTTAAAAGTGAGGTGGAGCTGTTTCATACTATGCTGTTCTTCCTGTCCCTCACTTTTTGAGGATATCATGTATTGGATTTTTTCCTCATTTAGCTTAGACCCATTTTTTCCCTAGCATCTTCAAACTCCTGTAAAGCTCTTAATAATGAAGCATTAGATATTGATGATATTACCACATCATTAACATATGCCAAGTGTTGTGTGAGTCTATTATATATTGTTTCTCTTTAATTTGTATTAATTGCTCTGGACAATTGCTCCAATGAAGAAGAAGAAAAAGTCTTTTTATTTATCAAAATGAAATAATATCAATACAAAAATAATATTTTTGGATTTATTTATATGTTTGAGTGTTTCGACCACTGGGGTCAGTTACACTGAAGTCTCATTAGTCACTTGAAGTTTTTTTAAATTTTATTATAAATGTAGATAGTTTTTAAGAATTTAATAAGTCCTGAAGTCGTGTCTGGGTCCTGTCTTAATATTTGTTCTGGGTCTGTGGAAAATCTGTAGGAGTCGTGAGCCATACACTCTGTTAGTATGTGAAGCACTGATAGAATATACCCGCAGTAGGAACATGCGGTTCTTCCTTCTTCATTAGATTTCCAAGGGTAAGTTGACAATGGCCAATCCTGAGGCGGGTAAGAACTACCTCTTCTCGCCGAACTACCTCTTGGATTTAAACCGAAAATCAGACGTGCTACCTGGTCTGTTGACCGTTAGAGGTGTTTGTGTTTCATAACAAAATTATATTTTAATCTATTTATATATAGCCAATTGATAAGAAAACAAGTACAATTGTATTTACAATGTAAAAGTTATATAAATATTTTAATTACAAAAAGAGTGGTACCAAAATTCTCCAATTTATTAATTGTTGAATTCTCTGGTGATTATTATTATATAGGAGAAAGCAGACTTGCAGTAATGCTATCCAATGCTATCCAATTCTTTCCATTTACTAAATCTATAGCTTGCTCCCGTGATAAATTTATAGATTTTAACCATTTAATTCTAAATTCAGAGAGTATTGGACAAGCAGTCAGGAAGTGATAGAGATCTTCTGTTTTGTTTGTATTGCACATGCTACAAATATTATTTGTTTGCTTGAAGTGTTTATAATTTAAGTTCAAAACATCTGATCTTAATCACCCATCTGATCTCCTCCAATGAGCTTTTGTCATCAATATAATTTACTGAAGTTAAATGAGGATAAAAAGTGAAAGTTTTAAAATTCTGAACTTTAATTGCGCATTGATTATTAAATATTTCTGAATTTGAGTTCTTAGTAAATATAAATTAATACTTCATAGTTTAATATCATCACAGTTAGAGCGATTTAATTTGAAATTTAATCCATGCATTTCTATCAGATTAAGTAAGTCCTTAAACCATATGATTTCTTTTTTAATTATCTGTAGTGCTAATATTTTTGGATATATATGTGGTGGAAGATTACATTATAATGTAATCAAAATGGAGTTTAATAATTGTAAAGATAAATAATGGATTTATTTTAGTCTCAAAGTGAATAAAATATGTTCAGTTGCTCCAATGTAATATTGAATAATATAGGGAAGAGAGGATCTCCTTGGAATGAACCATTCTTTACCTCAAATGCTATTCACAGAGAGTTCTATATCTTCACCCTGCATCTGGTGTTTTCAAGGGTGATTGCACTCAATCCTACTAGCTTATCTAGAACTCCAAGTGCTTTCATGACTTTAAGCAATTCATTCCTATTGAGTCTATCGTATGCTTGGTGGAAATCAATGAAGAGTGATGGAGATCAATATTATATTGATATGCCTTCTCCAGCATTTGTTGAATGGAGAAGATATGTTAATTGCTTCTTCCTTGTCAAAAGCCACGTTAGTATTCACCAGTATTTCTTGGATTGTGGACAGCATGGGATACCTCGATAGTTCTGGTAGGGTAACTTGTCCCCCTTCTTATGTATTGGCACAAAACTGCCACATTCCAAACCTGTGGCATCTTCATTTTCATCCAGATGTCAAATATAAGGTTGTGTATCGCCTCCACCAGTGTCTCTCCACCATATTTCAGTATCTCATTCGGAATACTGTAAATTCCAGGAATTTCGTTATTATTATATTGTTATCATAATAGGAGTTATTATGGAGTGCTCTGATTATTTCTTCTATTTCCTTTCTGTCTGGTGGTACTTCTTCTTATCCAAAACCATTGAGTCTTTTATACTGGGACGGTTTGTCTTTATTGATTGATAATGATGTGTTACAGTTCAGTAGTTCTGCAAAGAACTGCTTCCATATTTTTAGAACAGATCTCTTATATCCTTGCAGATTCCCCTCACTATCTTTAGTGAATTCCACCAGCCTTGGTATGAAGCCTCTCTGAAATTCTCTCATATTTTTATAAAACTTCCAGGTCTGTTTAGCTGCAAAGTCTTCCTGAAGTTTTTTTTTTCACATTTTCAGTTTCATACAGCCTTTTCTTTTGCTTGCATATGGTATTTACATCCTTGTTTCTTTCTTCAATGACCCTTATGCAGTCTTAACCAAACCAATCATTTCGGTTTCTTTTTAGTGTGGTGCCCAGAAAGTCCTCAGCTACTTCTCTGAGAACATCTTTAAGGTGTGTTCACTTTTCGTCTATATTCATATTAATAGGCACTTGTTCTCTCAGCCATCTGTTATTTTTCTTTCGAAATTTTGAGCTATATCTTTTTCTTTCAGTTTTTCAACATTGTGAGTGGTAGTGCTTCTTACATTGCTTAATTACTTTATACTTTTATAATTTTATTTTTGTCTAAATAAAATATAATGAAATTGTAAAAGAAATATTTAATCTTTAAAAAAAAATTTTCACACTGAATAAAATAAAACTATTTTCAATTTATTATCTCTAATTTTAAGCAGAAATTTTAATAAAGTGTTCTTAGTGAAAAAAAAGATTGCTAAAAATTAATAATTATTTTTACTTAAAGAAAATGCTCAAAAATAATTATAATTGTAATTGCCAAAAACACTTATAATTCAAACACATACAAGTTATTTATCAACAATTAAACTACCATAATGTAATCATGTTACCAATTCATTTTAATTTTTATCACATAATAAACTATTTTTGATATGCACAAAAAACGAATCCTCCACTTCAAAGTCTGCTTATAACAAATTAAAAAACCTTTACTGCCAAAAAAAAATACATTACTTTCTACTAGTGTTATCATAATTCAATAGAATGCGCTAGTTGATGTTACGTACAGTGCTGCACTCTGGCCATGTTTTAATAAAACATTGTTATTTAATTTTGAAATTTATCTTTTTGGTAAGGAACATTCCGAAGCTGTCTTTTATTGGGAATATAAAACGTTTCAGTTAAACTTTCACGTTTTAATCTGTAAAACAGCTGCTCGAAACTAATGAAACAGGTGTCGCTCTCTGGCGGGAATCTTTCGCAATTAAAGCGTCAACACATTTCACCTCCGGCTTTCGTTAGTCTGTGTCCAGAAGCCGTGGTGTTAGTGTTGGCCGTTTGTCTGTGATTTTTTTGTTTTAACGTTTATTTTTTATCGTCTTTTTTTTTTTAGAACTCGCAAATATTGGCTTATGCCAATATCGGTTTTGTATTAATTTTTATAATAACAGTCACGAAGTTATATAGTTTATTCATTACTATCATGTTATAAAATCAAAAGGTATTATTCATTTCGGTATTTTAGTGTCATGAACAATTTTTCTACCAATGGAATCGATAATCGCCGGAAGAATGTGGAAGATGAAGATCCTATTAATTGGATTTATCTGCACAATCAGTCTCAAGGTATTTTCCTTGATTTTTCATTTACATATCATTAACAGTTAATATCATCAGTTTATTTCATAGAACTTTATCATAAATGTTACTATTTATGTTAATGATATTAGATTCTATCACCTGATAACAGTTTTTCATTCTGATGTTTTTGTTTACATACAAATTTTAACCTAATGTTTTAGTTCTATCGGAATAAACTGTATTAGTATAACTACATGAGCTATCTTCTCAATTATTTCAAATAAAATAAATTAGTAATAAAACGGGCAGTTCTTTACCGGAAGTTAACGGATGTAACAGTGAGGATGTTTCATCTGCAAAATAATTATTGGTATAATTATTCTCCTCGGATTATAAGCATTTAATTTGTAATTAGTTTCGTTTTTTTATTTATTTAATAAATGGAAATATATATAAACATAAAATGAGCAATTTAAACAAAACTATCTCTTGTTTACTTTATATCACGTAATTTGTGTTGTTTCTTCATAATTTTCAATTATTTGCTTTATGTCTCTTGGTTTTATATGTATAATGCTATCCACTATATTATAAATGAAATAATTATCAACGTTTCACGAGACCATGTTGTCATAACTTACCTGTATACGACCGATTTCCCTTCACTTTTAAGTACTCGTTTCATTTATTTTTTAAAATTAAATCATCTCCATTTCAAGTCTCATTCGTTTATTCATTATATGAGTTATTTCCTTGTTAGTGCATTTAATAGATTATTCACACCTGTTCTAAATATTATAAATAAGTTTATTACAAATAAGTAATAGTCTTATTTTAATCTTGATCTTGGATATAATTTTTAACAATTATTGAATATATTTTGATTGTTTAATATAATTTTAAAACCAAAAATGTAACATTAAACTGGATTACTCGAGTTTGTTAAACATGAGCTAATTTTATCTTATCTACAGATCTGTTTCGTCTATTTGCATTCTTTTCTTCTATCATAGATGAATGTTGAATCAACAAAATGTGTGTATTTGTAAAAATGATTTTAAAGCTCTGAGATAAGACAAAACCTTATTGATAAACAAAAGCTTAGGATATATTTTCGATATCTCTTGTTAGTGAGGTAACCTTTTTTAGGTTGTAGATTTACGTAATTTTCTTTCATTTACTTTAGGAACTTTGAGAATTTAAAAATTTTTCTTCCGGAAGTTATAACACCTGATCAGTTTATTGAATAATAAAAATGTTTTAAATATGATTTCATAAACTGTTTTCTACCTACTTTTTGTCTTTTAATTAATTTGTTTTCTTCATTACATTATTTGACTAACGCTTTGGTGGAAAAAATTATAACCGTAATATTTTACAAGAGTAGTTAATTTTTTTCACTCCGAAATTAAATTGTTTTTATTGTAAAATTTTGCCATCCTGTCACGTTTAATGACATGAATTATTAGTTTAACCATTTATGCCATATTTACAGAAGACAAAATAAAAAAAAATAATATTAAGAAAAGAAAATATTAAGGAATAAACAATGTTAGAAAAAATATAAAATTTAAAGCTAATTTATTATTGGTAATCTTAATATAATTATTTTCATGATGTTTTATTTCATTAGTAATAGTTTTTTCAACACAAAATGAATTATTTTTTTTATTTTATTTGTTTTTAAATTAAATTTATTTTATTCACAGAAATCAGGATTTGGTTCATTGTTTAAATTCCGTATTTTGTGTCTGGTGAATGAAACAAGCTTTCAAAGTTTCACTGTACACTAACAATGTTTTTTTAAATCGTTGATTTCGAGTGAATTTGATTTTGCACTTATTATCAAATAAGTAAATTCAGCCGTTTTATTAGGGACACGAAGAAAGAGATTTAATTTTTTTAATATTTTGATAATTATATTGAGTCTGAATAGGCAGTGCATGGGGGATATATTTGTATGCTGAAAGATATATATATATTTTTTTTTTGTTTTTGTTTTGATAACTAATTTTATTTCAATTTATTACATTTTTCAGATTACCAATTTGATTTATGAAATATTTAAAAAATAAATTACTGTCTTGAAACACTTCAATTCTGCAGAATATCATAAAAAGTTTGCTGACTGCACTCCTCCTGATTGAGGTTTTTTGCTGATACTTATTTCTTGGTCGAATGCTAACTCATCAATAAACAATTTTAAACTGTTAATTGGCTAACGTTTCAAAGGATTGCGTCTTTACTTTCCTCAATGTCTAATCGAAATGACAATTTTAATATTTTAAGAGTCCTTTTATACTTAAATATTTGTTGTTAAAGTTCTGTTCGTAATTTATCAAAAGATTTTTATTTTTTGAAAAAATGTGGTCCCAGATATTGGAAATTCATTTTAATTTGCTTCTAAGATAAATATTAACTTTATTTTCGTCATACTTTTCTCGATCAATACTTAGTCAACTTCTGGTTAATTCTGTTTGAAAGCTCCCTCGGAAGTTCTGAAATTGAAATTAAACACTTATTTTCTCAACCACTTTTGTTTCAGTATATTGGTCTTATGAATTACATCTTGCATTTTTATAAAATTTTTGCAATTGATACAATCGGATTCTAATAATTTTCATTCTCAAACTGGAGCTTTAAATAATTTGAAACGTAAATATTGTAAAAACAGCTTTAAAATTCTTTAGTGTTTCTATTTTCAGTTGTTTAACAATTTGTTTTTTCAGTATAGTTTCCTTAATTTCTGCTGGTTTCATTATTTTGTATATTTCAAGGTGATATGTCGTTTAGAAATAAAATCTTTGAGATGATTCGGTTTTTGAAGTATAGTCTCGTTAAAGAAAAACTCTCGTCTAAGCAAAAGAAGTTGACAAAATTTGATAAAATCTATATTGGATCGTACAAATACCAATCTTCACAATCCCTGATTTTATTAAATCGAATTAACAATTAAGAATTATGCATGTCACATATATTCGATGACAGAAGGACATGCAGTTTAAAAGCGTAAATAACCTCTCATTGCCATATCTTTAAGGCTTACTGCATTTCACAGTCGTTATATTCTTAACAGTTACATTCATTTTAATTGTTAAATGGGATTTTATGAAATTGTTGCTGGACCATTTGTACTTTATTTCACAATTTTGTTTAAAATTAGGACCAAATCTAACGAGCATTTTTTTTAAATAACGTGAATCAAAATACTTATATTCTGAATATCAATGAAACTAATTTTACATATCATTAAGTAAAAGTATTAGGTGGAATTTGATAAAATTGATAAGGGGCTATTCAGGTACCTGGACAATACTTGAAAATCAAATTAATATTAGTAAATGATATGTTAATTATCTTACTACAGTAGTAGCGATCCAGGATTTAATTTGGGGAGAGGAGCTTCTACCGAAACACGTTACGTATATATAAGAAACTGAATACCTATGTAAAATGATGTTTAACTGATTCTTTAAACCAAAAATGATTTATGGGTGATAAATATTTAGGTTGCAGTTATTATAAAGTTTTTATTAGTGCCGAAGTTTCAACCCAAACATGTGGGTCATCATCAGGGCTCACTAGCGGATCCAGGATTTAATTTTTTGGGAGGGTTGGCTTCAGCACGAAAGATTTTTTTTTCATAAAAATGACGATAATAACTTTGGAAAAAAAGAAAGAAACTAACTATCTATATGAAATGGTGTTTAAGTGATACCTTAAGTCCTTTTAAATGTAATTACACGAACAATAATACTTTAAGAGATAATTTTTTAATATATTTTTCTATAAAACATGGTTATATTTTATCATTTTGTGGAGGGGGGCTTCAGCCCGAAAGCCCCCCTCCATTAGATCCGCCCGTGTCAGGGCTATGTTTCCGTGTTAGAAGCATCTATAGAGAGAGCAGAATGAGTTGTAGAAGAAGATGGCAAATAAGCTGAGTGCGAGCTGTGTAGAGCTTGAGATTTATTTAATATGACATATATTTAGTAGTTTTAGTATTTAGTATATGTTTTATAATTTAAAACATGTAACATATTTTGATTGTTTAAGTTTTTACATAGATGAATCACACTAAAAAATATGGACAAGTGAAAAAAAAAAAAATCCGTTTTCCATTTTGGAGGCCATCAGCCACCCACTTAGATCCGCTTACAGATAGACAAACAAGCATACATTTATTTTTCTTCTAAAACGTGAGTGAAAATTTGCGATGTAGTTCAGCTTTATTTAAATACTTTCTAAATTTAAACATAACATTATTTTATTTATGTTGTAAAACAAACTTAGTTACTCTCAATATTTCAATATTTATAAAATTTATGAATGTTAGATAGTTTACTTCTGAGATACCTGACATGTATATGTGATTAAATGTTCGAAAATGGTTACTCAGTTGTCTATAATTATGATAAGTGTATTTATAATATAATTTATTTACAAATATTATTTATTTAGGTATAGCGAGTTTAATTTTATAATTTTTTTTTTAAATAGAATTTTGAGTTATATATAGAACGTATAATTAGTGTTGAGCGTTGGCCGGATAACGTAAGCTTACTGTGTTCTCAAGGACAGACGTTCCGTTTGGGAGTATGAATGTTCTTTTGTTCTGAGCCAGTGTCTGTTAAAAAGATCATATTGTTCTCTTAAGTTGGCACGAGTGTGTAAACATCAAGGAGGAAACGTTTTAGTTTCTAGATCTTATTATTATTAGTGTCTTAGTAAATATTCTGTAATTTTTTTTCCTTTAAAAACGTAAACGTTTTTCCTCAAAATATCTTTCCTGTTAACTATAATTATCATCATTTTTAATTTAATTTAGTTTTATCAAATTTTCTTTTTTAAACTATGCCTAAATATTTTACAAAGATAAATAAAACTAAAACCATTTCATAAGATCACAATAGCGGGTTCAGGAATTAATTTGATATGGCTAAGTTTTTATTTGATTTTTTTAATAATGGTTATTACAGGAGCAATAACTTTCTTAGGTATGATATTTTAATATTTTCTCTTGACCCGTACATACATACATACAT